TATCACCCGACAATGAATAAAGTTTTGCAGTTGTTACAAAAATATTGTCATTTTTTTGTATGAAATATAAATAGTATTTAAGTAACACAACCTGTAAAGAAAAACGTCTTAATACTTGCAATGAAGTATACTTTTAACTCCTCAGGCTTGTTATTATTGAGTTTTAATATTTGCTTTTCTTCAAGATATGGTTAAATAATTTAAAGGAAGTTTGCTTGAAAGTACTTACAAAAAAGTCAAATTTTCTTGTGTGATATTTCCTTCCTTAGGAAGTAGATATTTTTGCTGTTCGTCATAGTTATTCTACAACAAATGGAAAAATGGAAATACGCAAGACTTTTTCGCTATGATATTTTGAAAAGATTTATGGCCTAAAATAGCACTGAACCTAAAACACAATTTTTATTCACTGAAATATATATTTTCATTGATTATGGAGTTTGGTGAATGGCTCAAAAAACTATTTTAACAATCAGATGCCAGAGTATTGAACTAACATGAAAATATTGTAAGAACAAAATTTGAAGCTTATTTAGTCAGTAACAAAATTGTCTTAACCACTTTTTTATATAATATTTACAGGACCGTAACAAAAAATCAAAAATCAAAGTTTATTATTCAGATCTTGCCTATGGCAGGATCCGGAACTTTTCGTCATGCTAAAGAACAATACTTCAATAATCTAAACACAAATTTTCATCCATTATAGAATTTTTGTTAGGTCATAAGTGTTCATTTACTGGCGTTGTGTATTTTGACATCTGAAAATTAACCGAGATGAAATGAGAGATACTTTGGCGTCATCTACGAGAATTTGTCACGGCTATGTTTCTTCTTCATGCAACAAATATAAGAGAATAATAAGCAAAAACTACTTGAAAAAGGTTAGCATTTCATAGATGGGGTTGTAGCCAACGATACGGGTCATATGTGAAGATAATACTGAACTAAAAATACAAAAAGGAAATTCTGATCTGACAATGGGATAATACATAGAAAACTTTTCATTAACTTAACTTTTTATATCTTATCGGCCAGCCAACTTCTTGATACTTTTCTGATTGATTCATGTTGTGTATGGAGATAATTGAAAAATATTATCAGTTTCTGTTTTATCAAAAAAAATATTTTTTATGCTTTTTTTTAATTTTAACTTGTTAGCAAATATTAGTACAGCTCTAAAAAGCTCTAAAATTGTATGTAAATACTTCACTTTTATGGAAGAATGAAACGGGTGATTACGTGTTTTCGTATTAGTTTCACTCTTAAAAAAATACTTTTTTGAAAACTCAATTTGCTGCACAGCGGACTAGTACTAGTGATGTCTACCATGTCAGAATGGTCAAATCAAAATCAAAGTGATGGAATCTGATATTCTTCTTCTTTCTCGGAAACAGTTTGTAGTTGTGGCACAGATTATTGTGGTTTACTGTGGGCAGGCATGTATGTCAGATGCTAAGTTCATGGTTCAAAAAGCGATCAGAGTTACAATTTATTTGACCACTTGCATTAAAAATGGTGTGCTAGTGGAAAAAATGCCAGATCTTAAAAAAGGCTAGATCTGGCTTCATAGGGCCCGCTGTGGCAACACTGATTTGCATAGTGCAGATGCTCGTTATGCTATGCGCGAATCTCTCACATCGTCTAAAGTTACGTTGGTGTGTGTTATCGTATATTCTGTTGTTGAGTCTATGATTATAACGGCAAACTTCGTACATATGTATTTTCCTTTTTCGCTTTTCGCCACGCCACAGAACACACTTTCAATAGTTGCAAAACGGGCGCGAAAGGCGCAAGAAAATAAAAAAGCAGAACAACAGAAAAACGCACTCGTCTCCAACAAGTTGTTGGGTTTTATTTTTATCCGGAAAATGAATTTTCGTGGGATTTTGGAGTATGTATAGGTATACGTTTTCCATAATATGCGAAAATGTAAAATAAGAGTAAAATGAATTTTATTGATAGCTAATCTTATATGATACCGGTAGTTGTGTGGAAAGCAAATTATAAATCGTTCAAGGAGACCTTACACCCTCCGAAGCACCGATTTGGCCCCAGCACAAAGTATTTATTTATCAACGTAACTTCATTGTAAACAACGAAATTACCGAATTGATGTAGCTTTTATATCATAAATCATAAATCAGTTATCATAATAACGAGCAAAGTTTAAATTTAACTGGCGCCAAGTACAAGGAATAAGAAAAACGTTTGAGCAAGCGCAAAGTTTTTATGCAAACGATGCGTATTTAATTATTTTCTGAAAAATTCGTGCTGATAACTGATGATGGGTTAATGGATAAAGTCGTATAGAATCTTTACGAGATCAGATTTCGCATTTTTGTGCTATCAAACAAGAACAGTTCTGGTTTTTTGATATGACGGTGAAAGTAAACATCGCATGGTTGAGTTGCAATGTGTTTCGGAGGAAAGATTTTCTCAGTACACATCAATTCACGCATCCAAACATTTTTGAAAGTTGGACAAATGGTGAGATTGGCCCTTCGAGAGAAACATCTTCGTTATTTTAAGTATTGCACCTTAGGGCTGATCTTACTAAGCAGGGTCACGAAAAAACACGTGGGATACAAATTCCACCAAGACGTCTTTGAAGTAATGGATCTAATAAATATGGTCGATTTCTTGTAGAATGTCTCTCAAACTAGGGAAAAGTATACGATTTGTATAAGATGAGCCCGTAATTCTCATACTAAATCAAGAAGTACGTCATAACTAAATTAGCGGCTATGGTCATTAAATGCACCAATAAAAAATAAGCCATTATGCATTATAAATTCTTTGACGACAAATAAAATTACAGAATGCTTATTCCTTCACATCAAGTAAATATTCAATTACCCTCTAACTTAAGCCAGCCCTGTTATCAGGGAGATCTCGCGCCCTCTACTGGACAGTAGGACAACTACTTGTAGCCTTGCCACCGTCACCGCGGCGCAGCGTGGTCGTGTAGTCATCCTTCCGTCCAGTAGAGTGCGCGACGAAGTATATTTATTATTTACTCAATGCTTGTTAAAGAATTTCTGTAATTTGATTTATGTCTTTAAAGATTCTATTAAGCAGAATTTTGTACAGTCACAGTGAGACACTGTTATTTTCAATAAAATGCTAAGTAATAGCGTCATGTCAACCTAGTGTATCAGGTTTGGTCCATGTTTCGAGTAGGCTACAAATCATTTTTGATTTAAGGAATTTGCGCAAATTTTCGTGTCCGGATACAAATGACAAAACAAGTTTTTGTAGCTAAACCAAGTGACTTATGACGTATTTCTTGATTTAATATGTGAATTTTGCACAAATCTTATCATTTCGCTCTTGTTTTAGAGACATTTTACAAGAAATCGACCAAATACATTAGATCCTCTAATTCAAAGACGCTTTCTTTTTACTCCCGCCGGTCAGTAGCAAAATCGGGCCTAGGGATTACAGTTAGGAGTTTAGGAATATATTATTTTACCAAGTCTCTATCAACACCTAAAGCTGCCGCAAAATCACTCGCCCAAAGGGTGTAAGATCTCCTTGTTAATCAGTGATATTTCATTTATCTAATACCGGATCTCTACAAAATACAAAACAAAACCTGCATATTCTCAAATGTAAGATAATTGATTAACGTATTCCACCTGAAGATAGCTAACCTAATACTATATTCCTGCATCCGAAAAATTATCCGAAATGAAATGTGATGCCGTAGCGTCACCTATGAGAACGCGTCACAGCTATGTTTCTCTTATCCGCAATCATTAGGAATCTACTTTCTAAAAGTTAGTGTCTCGTAGATGGCGCTGTAGCTATATATGCTCACGTATAGTTGGCAACAGCTTCGCCTATGAGACACTAAGCTGTTCAACGTAGATTCATAATTATTGCATAGATAAGAAACATAGCTGTGACATATTTTTATAGATGACGCCAGCTTATCTGATTTAATCTTGAATAAAAGGTTTCCGGCGTGCGAATATAGTGTTAGGTTGGCTATCTTCCGGTCGAATTCGTTAATCAGTGGTAAGATGCACTTGGGGTTTTGTTATTGTGAGAACGTTTTAGATTTGTCTTTGGCACATATGATTGACTGATAGATATCTTTCTCAATAATGAAGATAGCTAATGTTTGATCTGAGACATACTATTCAACTTTAAGGTCCCTTATTTTCCTTCTTACCTGAAGGAAGACAGAGGGATACCCATTTCAGTTCTTATAATTAAGAAAACACATTCCGCATTATAACAGTTATTGTGAATTAGATGTAATAACGATACTTTAAATCGAAAAAGGCGGCCTCCTTTGATATTTGATAACTTTCCTCTCACTCCCAAGTGACTAGGCAAATGAGTCGTCCTCACAATATGTCACAGCTTTGACGCATAATTTCTGATTTTCGAGAGGATATTCATGCCATTCCGTAAGAAATACAAAAGCTCAATACACACTTCTTGGGGCTAGAATATCGGCGTTTTATATTTTTATTTTCAGAAAACTGATCCATATTTTAGTCTTTTTTTGTTACCTATTTGATTTGGATGAAAGTCTGGGAGTTTCAGGTATTTGCGCTTAGGTGTAGTGGCATTTTTGTGAAATTCCATCAGGCGAAAAGGTAGGATCAAGAAGAGTCTCCATAAACTAGTGGGAGCCTGATTGTCTGATTTATCAACACACGCGCTTAGGAATTGCCACTATCCCTAGACGTAAGTATCCTGAGACAACTAGACTTCCACAAACAATACAAATAAAACAATTTGAGACCATCCTCGGATTATATACAGAAAGTCAATTTCAGACACCCAGTTAGACAGAATTTGAACAAATAATTATAATACGAATTACGAATATTAACAATAATAATATAAATTGTCTTTTTCCGATACTTTTACCCATATTGAATCTTGTTGTGTTGTCTCCCTTTTATTACTTTAAGTTGAGTTTAACGAGTTGTACCTGTATAGTGACCAATGTGTTTATTTTTCTGTTCTTGTCTTACCAGTACGAAAAGACTTAAAAATGCGACTGCAGTTCAGGTTCTTTAACCACAGGAAAACACCGTTGATCAAGTGAACAAAACACATACTTACAGTGAAGGTATTCATATTTTAAAAAAACTGTTAGGAGAGGAGTAATTAACAAATAAAGAATGACGCTCTAACAAAGTAGGCTCTAGTAAAATTATTTTTATTACTTTTTTTTGATGTACTATATTGGCTTATTAACACACGATCAATGAGCAAAGTCACTATCGCATTAATCGAACGTTTATTGGGTGTATTTTATGTTGAAGGTATGCGTCCACTGGGTCGCGTCGTACGCATTGGAGTAATCGGACCTGTGGACGCGAATCTTAAGAAGGAAATATGTATACACGGTGTCGTAAGCAATTAGATTTAAATAAGTGGTAAATTAAGGAGTTTGCGTCCAAGATACATACTTTGTGAACGCCATATATGGAGGAATGCTGAAACGCTCGTTTTGCTAATATCGGCCTGAACTACTGCAACCCGCATTTGGATACCGTGGTTTGTGGGTTGCAGACTCATAGGAAACTAGATGTAGTACACTTTTAGAGCATGAGGTGATGGAGAAAGCAAGGCATTAACGGCTTATCTGACCAACAATACGCATGTGTACTGGGCCACCCAATAATAAAGGACGCCGGCTATGTTTCCGCAACGGCTCAACCTAGAGCCACCCCTTAAAAATTTCATAACAAAAGTGTACCAAGGAAAATTGCTGGAAATTATTTTCAGCTTCCTAAAATGGCCGCTTTTCCAAAGCCAACCGAGCTAAATTTTGATGTGTAATTCATTTTTTCATACATCTGGCAACACTTAGGACCCTATCGGTTATAAAAAGTCTAAAGATACATAAGTATTCATAGCTTGGATTTTTCTTTTTATCCAGTAGTACTTAAAAATTGTAATTTAAGCATATTTTCCATTATATCTCGATAACAAATAAATATATTGATCTGTGGTTTCCGCCATTTTATAACCCGTTGTGTATCAGATTTTCTAAAAAAATAAAGGAAAACAGTGACACATCCATATCTAGTGGCCACAAAGTGAATTGATTTGACAAGATTGCGCAGGCGCAAGCTCTTTCGAACGAAACCAAGGTCGTGAAAGTTTGAAAATTGAGCAGTCATCCTAATATAGTTATTAAATATTAGGAAGCTGAAAATGATTTCCAGCAACTTTCCTTGGCCACTGTTGTGATGAAATTTTTAAACGGATAACTCTAGATTAGACCGTTGCTGAGATATAGCTGGCGTCCTTTATTATTGGGTCTCCCGGGACAGGATCAATACATCATTGATTCCGATAAATGGAGGGACATACAACAACTGATCCCAAGCAGCATGCAACGTAACCATGAAGGTTAAACCCTACTTCATTAGTTGCCGAAACAGATTTCTCCTTCGTAGAACTTTTACGGCCCATGGTTGATACAGCAATCAGGCTAAACCAAAAGTGTTCCGTCCGTTTATTTGTTTTTTAGTCCAAGGTATTTACTGTCCATGAGCCAGAAGCAGTGTCGCAGACTCAAGCCGTATACCGTTGATAGCTACCTAATACCTAAGACGCAGCATGAATTTCAATCGCATCCTGCCATAAAAAAAAGCAATTTGAAACAAATAATTGCAATGTAACAATTGCGGTTGCGGTATGAGAGCGGCATGATTCCATATACAGGGTGGGTAGACATAGAAGTGCCAAGTATGATGATCATTTACTTACTATGAAAAAGTACTTCGTTTCTCCGTTAAAGGGCGTCAAAGTTTTCAGATTTTCAGATATTTTAAGAACCGATTTGAATGAAATTTGAAACTCGTATTTTGCTAGATGTTCTAATATTTGACTTTTACGAAAAACTCTGAAGTGTTTAAAACGGGTGAAAACTACCCCCACCCCTACATAAATTATATCAGATTTTTTTGGCAACTTTACCGACGACTCTGAACTTTACTTAGCCGACTTTTTAATTACTCCATTTTTTGTCTCATATAAAAATTGTCCATCTCGGATAGTTTTCGAAAAAAAAATGAGTTGTATCAAGAGTGTCAAGTGACTTACTAGTTATTTAAGTGCAGTTAGTGAAAATAAACAAGTATGATATTACTTATTACAGTTTTATTTAAAATATACAACAGCGCGAATCTTTCATAAAAGGTGTTCAATATGACCACTATCTTCGATCCTGCACGTAGCAATACGGCGCAAAAAATTATAGTTAACTTTCGTCAAGATGTCATTATTCTTTAATGTATTTGCACCATTTTGAATCCTGACCATATCAGTCTGTTCGTCAAAAGAATATTCCATATTCACGAGAAAAACAAGCAACAACAACCTAACCAATATCATAATAATCTCAAACGTTAATTAATTTAAACTTTATGAAGCTTATTGTCAAAAATAATAATCTGACACTGACATAACATCACACTCGCCAACTAGATGCCTACTAGATTTTAACACTTAGTGTAATAAGAACATTTTTTAGAAACCATCTCCGAAAATCGTTTTTTCCTCTAAGACTATGCGAGATGGCCTTTTTTATAAGAGACAAAAAATGAAGTAAATAGAAGTATTTATTAATTAAAAAAATTCAGAGTCGTTGGGAGAGTTGCGAAAAAATTCTGCTATAATTTATGAAGGTTTGGGGGTAGTTTTCACCCTTCTCGAACCCTTTCAGTTTTTTCTTGTAAAAGTCAAATATAAGGATGTCTAGAAAAACATATATGTTCCAAATTTCATTCCAAACGGACAAACGAAGCACTTTTGCAAGCAGGTAAATCATATCTGATCGACTTATTTTGAGTCTAAAAATACGTGGTACTTCTGTCTACGGGAAATTCGGTATCAAATGACCCTACACAAAACATGTGCAAAATGGGTCTTAGCCGATATATCAAAAAATTCAGAATGATATATTTCTCACTTCTCAATGGTGAATGTGCACCTGAAATCGATTTTCAAATTCCTCGAAAAAAAAAACATTCATATGATGCCTGTACCGAATCCAGAAGACTTCAATAAAATACCTTGGGCTGTTATTAATAGATACTCACCCTCCAATTATTCTTTATGGGAGGCGCTAATGCTGCATTAGCGTTTCAGCTGTAAGCAATAGCGTACCAGGCAAACGTCGATCTAGCGTTACATGAAGTAGAATGTATCCACTGTAGAGACCCAATATCCACTATGGATATCTTATCGAAAAGTTTATGAAAATATCGATGATTTACCCGATGATTATGCCATAATTAATGGGTATTATTAAATCCTAGACACAGGTGTTTTTCTGATACGCTCTCCACGAGATTAGAGTTCGTTATATTTCGAAAAAGTTGAACCAAACCGTTCGATATACCGGAAGCATACTATCACAAAAAAATCAAATTAATAGTCGATAAATTACAGTATTCTGAAGCTATGTTCACATTAATGCACATGTTCTTCTTTCTTTTTCGCCTTCAAAATCAACATAACCTTGTATTATCCAATTCTCCGAGTATTTAGCCTGGGAACTATAATCGACACATTCACCATTTTTGCAAATCGGACACTAACCATAGGATTGCTCGGCTGATAAAGAACCTTTGTTCAGGGAAGTGAGAAATATATCATACTCAAGTTTCAAACAAACCGACTGGGACTCATTTTGCCTAAGTTCTGTGTGGCAACTGGCAACCTGGCAAAAGCAAGTGAGATTATGAAGAATGTCAATGGATGTTGTCACATCTGCACTGCGTTGCTGTATGATATATTTCTTGCCTTCCCGAACAAAAGTGTCCATGGGACCAAAGCAATCCTATGATTAGTTTCTGAGAAATAGGAGGATAAAGTTTGTAAGAGTGTACTAAAAGAAATATTTCGTTAAAACACCTTCTAGGAAGGTGTTGAGATGTGTCATATTGATGCTGACCTTGATCCTTACAAGATCAGATTTGGGGCATATTGATTTTTGTATGTTTATGCTGGAAAGATCTGGCACGAGATGCTCGAGAATACAGGAAACCTAAATAATAATTATCGATTGAATGCAAAGCTTACGTCTCCCGTAAAATATTTACATTGCAAAGAATGTTAAATCAGATACAGATTACAAAAGATTGTACGATTTACCAATAGTCCATATGCCATCCGAAGTCCTTTGTTAAAAAACTTTTTTAGAAAGTGTCTATATTTGCCGAAGAAAACGACTTTTTAAATCAAGAATTCTAAACTTTTCAAGTGGGAGACGTACTTGTATTAAATAGAGGATATATTGATGTCACTGTATTGTTAGATCAGTTAGATATACACTGGAAAATGCATTCACCTCTGGGAGGAAATCAATAGCAGCTGTCCACGGGAATAGCCAATGAATCTCGTTTAGTTACCAAGACAACCTTTATTATAGTTCATGCTCTTATTGATATGTACCATTTTCCGATTATTTATTATGGAACGTAAATTAGCGCATCAGCTGTTAGCAACGGCGCAAGAGGCGACCGCCGGTTAGCGTTAAGGCGGACTCCCACTACTCGTTTATTTAGCAAGTACGCCAATATTTGTGCATTTGGCAAGTACAGCAGGTTCCTTTAGAGTTTATTTTGTTTCCATCATGGATAGTCGCGTTGTCGCTGCAGCAGCGTTTGTGGTATTGAGTGGCTGCATGAGGCAAAAAGAAAAAGAAGATTTTATTTTTGATTCGAAGCCAGGCACGTTGATCAAGTTTCTGTTCTTATGTTGTGGATGCCTAGGTTGCCATATTACTGGCTCGTTTCCATATAAATCCAGAAATTCAAAAACGACTTCTTGAGATCACTCCATTTGGTTCCACGCACACGCGACGGAAGACAAGCACAGAGTCACTGCGGAAATTGAGTGCCTTCAAGCTGGCAAGTAGTGGGAACGCATCGACAAGTATCGACTTGTCAAATACGCAAATAATTGAAGTCCCTTTGACTCGGGTCTTTTTTACCGACAACCGTCGGGACTTCGCCAGCGGCAAATAATTGTACGAGTAATGGTCGAGTGAACCACTCCCACTGTATGGTAAATATAGGTAAGTGACAAATATTTGCTATATAGTCCGCC